CTCTCTCATCTTTGTAAGTGGGAGAACTTGCACAATTGGTGGCTGACTAAATACTTTTTTGCCCCACTGTATATGCTCTCTTCCTCTCTAACTTTCTGTACAATATAGGGATAAGAAATAAACAGTTGGAGGCTACAATTTGTTAATAACAAATCTCCAGGCAGATAGGATGAAGTCTCAAAAATACTTTTCCAGGATGTAGGACCATCCTGAAGACACAGCTGGAAACTGAGCTGTGATACAATGAAATTGAGCAGTTCTGAGGGAAAAATTAGGCTTATAGTCAAATCCAGCTACCAAAAATATTTAGAAATATGACTATTACACTATAAAAATCTTGCTGGCACCCACAGTAATGGCCCTTAAGACTTTACTGGTCTGTGCTAAATAGGAATACTTGGCAATTTGATTGCCTTGATATTTTTCTTAATTAAAAAATGTGAAGAAAATGGGTTGGTGACTTGAACAGAGGTGGCAGCCTTTTATGAGTAGTTCTTGCAGTCCTCTGGTCAGGTCAGCTACCAAGCATGTCAACTTCCAAAGGTTGGTTGGTAGGTTTGCTTCCTTAAGTAGTGATACTTAATCAAGTATGCTGATCATGACTCAATCCATTGGCAGTCTCTTGAAATGTAATCTAAGAAGGTATGCAATCAGCTCTTCTTCTTTGGAGGTATTCACTCAAAAGCTGGGTTTACATATCATGTTATCATGGTTTGTTTAACCATGGTTTGCTGAATAACCATTATTCACTGGGTTTGCACTAAATGTTAAACCAAAACAAAATAATACACATTATGGCATAATGTGTTTGTTATCTAGCCTAATGTTTTAGCTTATATGAATCTCTTTTTCCTACATCTAGGACTCATTTTAGATGGAAAATGGAATAAATAATGGGCCAAGAGTTCTGTAAAGTGCCAAAACAAAATACATACTATTACTAAAATACACGGTTACAGAAAACCAGCAGTCTGAAGTACTCAGTACAGTTTGAGCAAGGCATCGTACAAAATTGGGTAGCTGGATCATGTAAACACATATAATACATTTGGATTGCTCTGATTGTAATAACACTGTTGTGAAGATTTGTTCTCTTTGGAAGTAGCAGTGGCAAGGGCCCGCTTAGTAGGTTTGAAGGAAAGGCATAAAATAATAGATTTTGTCATTTTATGTATTCAGTTTATAGTATTGCTATATTAGGTATCCTCATAATAGTGCTTCTCAACTTAATGATTGACTTGGGAAATGAAAAAATACATTGAAGGATTACACTGTTATTAGCTAGTTAAAATACATAGTGAAGAACTGAGTATTCAAATAGAATAATAGGGAAGGAGGCATTAGTCATCCATATTTTTGCTGTGATCATGTGGGCATTAGTATAGGCTACATTTTCCTGATAGCATCAGCCTATAGCAGTGTTTCTCAACCTTGGCAACTTTAAGATATGTGGACTTCAACTCCCTGAATTCCCCAGCCAGCATGCCCCTGGCTGGGGAATTCTGGGAGTTGAACTCCACATATCTTAAAGTTGCCAAGGTTGAGAAACACTGGCCTAGAGTGAAAAGGAAAAGCATTGCTAATTTGTGTTTATGCTCAAATAGAGGGGCAAGCTCACCCTAGGCCTCTCATTATATTGAGTTCTGTGCATAGTAGATGATGAGGATTAAGTCAGCTGCCCCTGCTCTTCGCTCTGATGTTCATACATTGGGTATCATGGAGTCTTATAAGTGTATAATCAGTTCATTTGAGCCTCAATTGTGTAAATCTGTTTACACTTTGTGGTATCAGCGTTGCAAACTCTATCATATGTGCATAAGACTCTGTGATACTATTAACATAGGTATCTGTCAGATCCAGAATTGTGTGGGGTACATCAACAGGGAAAGACCACTTGGCACACTTCCATTTTTCCATCATACACTGGAGTCTGCATACATCTAAGAGGTTCCTCAACATAGAGATTGATTTATCTGAAACTGCACAGATTTCAGATCAAACAAAATTAGATTGCATATACAGTGGGGCAAAAAAGTATTTAGTCAGCCACCAATTGTGCAAGTTCTCCCA